GCCCTTTGCCCCAGAAGGATCCGTCGTCTTGAAGTCGTGAGCCCGCCGGCCCTTGCCTGCCAGCTCTGGCCCTTTTCCACGGTTGCCCTTTGCTTTGCCTGCCTCCGCCTTTTAACGGCTTCCTCTCGGCTACACCCACTTCCTGACTTTCTTCCCATTCCACCAGCAGGTTATTTCTCACAAGCACGTCCCCTGCCCTGGTGACCTCTGAGGGCCTCTCTTGACCCACCCCCAGCTGCGTTCCTTCCTTTGGAATGTGGTGTTGGAGGAAGAAGAAGAAGAGATTGGATTTATACCCGGCCCTTCACTTGGAGTCTCAGAGCGGCTTACAAACTCCTTTCCCTTCCCCTCCCCACTACCAACGGTGGTAATACCATCAGGGTCAGGAAAGCCCCGAATAATCTGGAGGTACAAGAACTACCTGGCAATAAGAACAATGGACGGGTTCGGACTTTCTAGTAGACAGCGACACCCCAAACTGAGGGTTGCTGGAAGTCATCATAAGAACAACTAAGACCATCTTGCGAAATAGAAGCACTTTATTGTTTATTATTGAATTGTACTGTTGTTATAAAAGTTATGGTTTTATTGGTTTTATGTATGGGCTTATGCCCCTTGTAAGCCGCCCTGAGCCCGCTTGCGGGGTAGGGCGGGGTAAAAATACTTATATAAATAAAATAAATAAATAGACAGACATCCTGGGAGGCAGGTGGGGCGGAGAGAGCTCTTGACAGAAACTGCTCGTTCAGGAACAGCTGTGCCAGAGCTTGTGACTGACCCAAGGTCACATCAGCAGGTGCATGTGGAGGAGTGGGGAATCAAACCCGGTTCTCCCAGATTAGAGTCCGCACACTTAACCACGACACCAAACTGGCTCTTCAGTTTTTGGAGGTCTTTCACGGATACCGTGGACCTCCAAAAAGACCATTAAGTGGGTTCTAGATCAAATCAAAGCCTTCAGGTCTCCCTAGAAGCAAGAATGACCAAGTGAGGCTCTTGTACTTTGGTCACATTAAAGTTGAAGAGAGAAGGAGAAGAGGAAGACCCAGCATGAGATGGATTGCCTGAATCAGGGAAGCCAGGGCCCTCAGTTTGCAAATCCCGAGCAAGGCTATTCATAGATAGGACATTTTGGACACAAAGTTGTTGTTGTTCACTTGCACAGTTGCATCCGACTCTTCGCGACCCCACGGACCACATCACGCAGGCCCTCGTGTCCTCTGTTGTCCTCTGGAGTTTGCTCAATTTCATATTCGTTGCATCACTAACACTGTCTAACCATCTCATCCTTTGCCTTCCCCTTCTTTTACCTTCAGTCTTTCCCACACACAAAGAGAGCTGTGCAAATGAATCACTGCTCCTTTTCTAGCCTCTGTTTTTGGGATGCGGCACAGTGTGACAGTCTTTCAATAGTGCTGTGTAGGGATCAGCCCGAACCAGGAAAATGCAGTTCATGTCAGTTTCTGGCTGAACCACAAACTGAACCCCTTTGCAAACACTGTTGAAAGGGACTGCAGCCACCTTTAAAAGGGGTTTGCAGAAAGCTCGAAAAACAGCTGTTTTCGGGCTGTCTTGAGCGGTCCCTTTAAAGTTTAAATGGGCTGCACAAGACAGCCCAAAACAATTGAGTGGTGGGGGGAGCACTTCCCCATTGCTCAGCTGTTTTTGTGGCTTTCACGGGAAACAAGAAGGGGTTTAAAAGGGACTCAGAGTCCCTTTAAACCCCTGCTTTCTGCCTCATCCACGAACAGCCATGGAAGTTCAGTAGAACCACAAACAGGGCAGAATTCGTGACAGATTTTGCTATGTGGTTTGGCACATGCCCCTCTCTAGTCCTGTGTGTGAGCTTTTGAGGTTTGTGTGTGACCACCGAGAGCCAGTTTGGCATAGTGGTTAAGTGTGCGGACACTAATCTGGGAGAACCGGGTTTGATTCCCCACTCCTCCACTTGCACCTGCTGGATGACCTTGGGCAAGCCATAGTTCTGGCACAACTGTCCTTGAAAAAGAGCAGTTTCCATCAGAGAGCTCTCTCCGCCCCACCTACCTCACAGGGTGTCTGTTGTGGGGAGGGGAAGGGAAAGGAGTTTGTCAGCCGCTCTGAGACTCCTTTGGGTAGTGAAGGGTGGGGTATAAATCCAATCTCTTCTCGTCTTCATTGCCTCAACAAATAGTCCCTCTTTCGCTATATGTTTAGTTATATGCTTGGCTGCTCCATTTTACCCATGGTGGCGATGGAAAGTGTCACCAAGTCACACCCAGTTTATGGTGACCCCTTCAGGTCTGCGAGCCAAGAGATGAACAGAGGTGGTTTGCCATTACCTGCCTCTGTGCATTAAATGCCATCAAATCGCTTCCGACGAAATAATGACAATTTGCATAGCAACCCTGGATTCCCTTGGTCATCTCCCCATCCAAGTACTAACCAGGGTGAGCCTGCTTAGTTTCCAAGATCTGATAAGACTAAGCTAGCCTGGGCCTGCCAAGACAGAATACATTTTATAAACTTATAGCCAATATTTACAGTTCATTGGAAACCATGTGATATCCTCACGCAGCTGTACAGTTTTAGGTCACAGCAGTTTTCAACCGACTTACACTGAACACTCACACTTTAGGAAGACTTTAAAAAAATTTGCTTTTCTTCTGCCATAGCCAGCTAGATTTTAGCTAAACTATGATTATGCACACGTCAAAGTATATGTTCTGTTTCTGGCCAACCCACAAACTTCCTACATGTAACCCTTGAAATATTCCTTAAGTGCTCCCTTAACATGCATCATCAATGCATCTGGTTGGGTCAGAACAGGGGCTGTTTGCCTTTCTTTCATGGCTGTCTTGTTCATTGACCTGGCGTCTTTGTTCCTCCTGTTTGCGAAGAGGGATGAATGTTAACACTGGTGTGTTCAGGACTGTGGTATTCAGTGGTAGTGCTTTTGCCAAGAGGATCATTGGGGATGTTGCACTAGTGTCACTTAAGGTGCTCGAAACAGAGCTTAACTATCTCTCAGTTTCTTCTTGATATTGTGCTGTAATACACTGTGGATATCTAGGTGTCTCTCAAAGTAATGTGTGTTTTACCTTCTGGTCAGGTGATGTTGTCACAGATGTCCCTTTTGGGGAGAAAAATCCTATTAATCCTTTGGTCACATTATCAGAAGACAAGAGTCACTGGAAAAAACAATAATGCTAGGGAAAGTTGAAGGGGACCGGACGAGAAGACCTACTGCCACCACCACCAACTATCTTGTGGTAACAACGGGGTAATGGGATGGCCCATTATAAAGATCTTGCCACAGTATCGTGATGGATCGGTACTGCTGAATCGGGCTCTTGGGAAATATCTATCGGCCACCATCTTGATTCGATCTGAATGATGAACATCACTGAGCACTTTATTATTGTTAATTGTGGTTGTTTTTATTCTGTTTTTAATGTTTTATATTGGCACATGGTTGCCCTTGTTTGTGAGCCGCCCTGAGCGGGATAGAAATGCAATAATAAATAAATAAATCATGAGAACGTAAGAGAAGCCATGTTAGATCAGGCCAAAGGCCCATCCAGTCCAACACTTTGTGCCACACGCTGGCCAAAACCCAGGTGTCAACTAGAGGTCCACCAGTGGGGCCAGAACTTCAGAAGCCCTCTGTAACGATTCCTTGTTTATGGGTGTGTGTCTCTTTAAAAGTTTGGTTGCATGTGATAGTCTAGAGTGCTTGAAGAGGCAAGTGTGGTGTGATTGGTGAGTGACAGAGAGGGGGAGGGGTTTTGGAAGTGATGCTGTGTGGATGAATATGTATGTCTATCAGTAGTGACAGTTTGAGGTTTTGACAGTGGAAGAGTGACAGTTGATGAGGACAGTAAAACAGTCAGTTAGTTGGTTCTGAAGTCTGTGAGAGAAGCAGTCTGTGTGTGCAGTTAAGAACAGCTGAAGTTGTTCTGAGAGAATAGTAAAATGTAAATGAAAGTAATTGAAGACAAAGTTTAGGAAAGGCTGTATGTCCTGGAGAGAAACAGTGAACTTACATGACCTTGAGTTAAAGTTACAAAGTTACATGCCAAGATCCCTGACAGTGGAGAGAAAAGTGTGTGAAATACCCAAAGCAATTGTTTAGTATTTACCCATTCCTAGTTACAGTGTTCTACCATATTATTTATGAATTATATCAATAAATCTACTTTTATTTAAGATACCAGTTCTGAAAGAAATACTTCCCAGGAAACACATAGACCCTCATGAAAGCCTAAAAACCGACCTACCTACCCAGTGATAGAAATATTATAGTATAAAGGTTTGGAAAGCCTTAAATTTCCAGGTGGCAGCCGGATATACTTAGTAGAACCAAACATAAAGAACACTTTTAAAGTAAAACCAGACCTCCCCAGTTAAGGGGTCGTCAGAGTAACATAGAGGAAGAGAGACCTGTGTATGCCACCCTGAACTCCTTGGAAGAAAGGCAGGGAATACATAATGGATGTTGCTCTTCAATACAACTAAACCTTGTTTCTGTGTAGTGTGATAGTGCCTTTTCTTCTACAGATCTGTTCAGTACTGAGAACTGGTGACATAGTACACAATCAAGCCTAAGATAGGGAATTTTGAGTTTCAGAGGCGCATGGGAAGTTTTTCCTATTGCCATCAATAACACTTAATGTTGCTTCACTTTGGCTGAATTTTGCACATGTAAATTTGTACAAGTTTTGCCTCCTAAAGTCGCATTTGACTGGCTTTTGAGCAAGGGAAACCTTTACCTTAAGATAGATCTAGGTGGGCAGCTCTGTTGGTCTGAAGCCATAGCTAATCTGGTGGACTAAGATTGTCAAGCGAAGGTAACTCCATAGTTCTGGTGGTTTGCTAGATCCTAGCTTGACTAGCCGCCTCAAAAGGGACTTCTGTGACAACGCTAACCTGAAATCAAAGAAACAGTGTTATATGTTGAGACTTTTGAAATATCCTTAGGCCCCCATGTATTTTGTGCTGACTGCAGTCCTTCGTTGCAGATCTTATGCCTTCTTTCATCCGTCATGGTCCAACCATTCCAAGACGCACGGACATCTGCCTTCCGGACCTGAGCCCTTCCGCCTACCCTGCCGGCGGGGATGGAGCCGTTTCCAGGAACCAGAGCTTCCTTCGGACTCCCGTGCAGAGGCCGCCGCACGAGATCATGAGGCGGGAGAGCAACCGGCTCTCTGCCCCCTCCTTCCTCGCCCGGGCGGAGGTCCCGCAAGACTACGGCCCGTCCCCCCAGCCCTTTTTGGCAGAAGCCAACCTGGTCACGGAAAACGGAGACGCCGGGTCCCGTTACTATTACGACCCTTTTTACAGTGGTCAGCGGCGGCACCCGCTGGGGGATCCCGTGCAGGAGGAATATCGATACTATGAACAGAACAATGACCTCTTCCAAAGGATGTCGCAGAATCAGGGAAGGCACACGGCAGGCAAGTGGTGTTGGTCTCACTCAGCCACTGGCAGTTCAGAAGGGTGTACTTGTGCTAATGGAGTTAGAGGGGACTCTGGTCTCTACAGTAACAGCACCTCTTCCTGGTTTATGTAGCGCAGGGGTCCCCGATGGGGTGCCTGTGGTCACAGGGCCCCCCGCTGACACCTTTCCCGGCACCTGTCAGCGGTGTTAATGCATCCTAGGATGCATTCACAGAAGCATCGTGTCCAGATCACGGGAGGCAGTAGTCCCGCTCTGTTCTGCTCTGGTCAGGCCTCACCTGGAGTCCTGTGTCCAGTTTGGGGCACCACATTTTAGGAATGATGTTGACAAGCTCGAGCGTGTCCAGAGGAGGGCAACCAGGATGGTGAGAGGGTTGGAATCCAAGTCTTACGAGGAAAGGCCGAAAGAGTTGGGTCTGTTTAGCCTGGGAAAGGGAAGGCTTAGAGGGGACACGATTGCAGTCTTCAAATATCTGAAGGGCTGTCATGTAGAAGACGGAGCAGATCTATTCTCTCTTGCTCCGGATTGCAAGACTAGATCTAATGGGTGGAAATTACAAGGGAGTCGTTTCCGGCTGAATATCAGGAGAAACTTCCTAACTGTCAGAGTGGTTGAGCAGTGGAACAGATTGCCTCGGGAGGTGGTGGAGGCTCCTTCGCCGGATGTTTTCAGGCAGAGCCTGGACGACCATCTTTTGGGTATGTTGTAAGGCTATCTATTGGCTCTGCTCCTCCAGAGGGCAGGGGGTTGGACTAGATGACCTGCAAGGTCCCTTCCAACTCTGACATTCTATTAGTCCCTCTAAGCTGAGTTAGTGTGAGCCAGCTCACAGTTTTTTAGCCACCAGCTCACAGATTTTTCTCTCAGCTTAGGAAGGATGGCTCCAGAGCAAACTAATCTACTCAGTAGCCAGATCACTCACGCACAACTTTAATGCCAGGAACTCACAAAGTAGAGTTTTTGCTCACAAGACTCCACAGTTTAGAGGAAGCCTTGCCTGCCAGGTATATGTAGAAAGTGGGGGGGGGGGGGCTTTTGTCCGGCAAGGCTTCTGATTGGCTGTTGGGGAGGTGATTGGCTGTGCAGATTTTTGGAAAAGTGTTGCTTCGGCGGCAGTTGCCCGTCACAGCACAAGGATCCTCAAACGTTTGACTGGCGGTAAGCTGTGGCAGCCATTTTGTGGCTGGCTCCACCTCCTTTGAGGGGCCACAGTGGCTCAGGTGGTTAAGATGCTGAGCTGCAGACCGGAAGGTCGGTGGTTTGGCAGTTTGAGACCCCAAGTGCCACACGTGACGGAGTGAGCTACCGTCTCTGGCCCCAGCTCCTGCCAACCTAGCAGCTCGATAGCAAGACATTGCAAGTCCATAAACAGGTACCGCTTTGGTGGGATGGTAGCAGCGTTCCGTGTGCCTCGGCGTCTAGTCACGCCAGCCACATAACCACAGAAACGTCTTCGGACAGCGCTGGCTCTTCGGCTTGGAAACGGAGATGAGCTCCGCAGCCCTAGAGTTGGATTCGACTGGTTTTCGAGCAAGGGAGACCTTTACCTTTTACTGTGAGCTGCCTTGTACCAAGTCAGGCTTTTGATCTACATAGCTCAGTCTCGAGAGGAACTGGCTCGGATTGGGTTCAGGGGCCCCTTGACTCTCTGCAGTGCCAGCCTGAGGCAAAATGTTGAATTCCAAAAACAAGAAGAAGAAGAAGAGGAGATTGGATTTATACCCTGCCCTTCACGACCCAAGGTAGGCGGCTTACAAACGCCTTTCTTTTCCCCTCCCCACAACAGACACCCTGTGACGTAGGTGGGGCTGAGAGAGCTGTGACACAAACTGCTGTTTTTCAGGGACAGCTCTTGTCCGTACTACGGCTTGCCCAAGGTCATCCAGCAGCTGCGAGTGGAGGAGTGGGGAATCAAACCCGGTTCTCCCAGATTAGAGTCCACGCACTTAACCACTACACCAAACTGGCACTATCGCTCACACGCTAACGAATACTGCGCAATGAACAGTTCGTTTCACAAATATTGTGAAAAGAATTGTTTTCATTGCACAGTACTCGTTAGCAATGTTCCCTCTAAGCTGGGGAGTCCTGTGAGCAAAAATTCTTCTTTGTGAGCTACTGGCATGAAAGCTGTGAGCGAGCAATTTGGCTACTGCATAAATTAGTTTGCTCTGGAGCCCTCCTTCCTGAGCGAAGACAAAAATATGTGAGCCGGAGGCTAAAAGAGTGTGAGCTAGCTCACACTAACTCAGCTTAGAGGGAACACTGATCGTTAGCGTGTGAGCAATAATACAAGAAAATTTTCTACAGAAATTACTACAGTAAACGTTTTTGCAACTTATCTTTATTGACTCTTTGTCATTTTTGTCACGGATGTTGTTTTTGGAATGCCACTTCTTCCCATGATCTCTCATTTTTGGCTGCTGGGGCAAAATGTTGGCAATGGGGTGGTTATCAGTGAGCCGTTTGCCCTCCCGTGGTGTGTCTTCAAGGCAGTATTTGTAGCTCTATAAACTTTCTGGAGGAGAAGGGAAAGGGAAACAGAAGTGTGGGTTGGTGGGGGGAAATGGGGTGTAGGCTTGGAAATAGCATGTGGTGCCTTGCAGGTGGGCAGTCTTGTGGCTGTCCTGGAGAGTGGGGGGGGGACACCATTAGCCCTCTGACAGGCGCACCGAGGAGGGGAGCCACCCTCAGCTTCTTGGAGGAAGAAGGTCAAGAGAAAAATGTCAGCGGCTGGCTAGATAATATTGACGGAGAAGATGTTTGTCTTAGAAACGTGACTGGTCTCGGGTGTAACAGCATTCCGGGCTTTGTCGTTTTCCTGCGGCTTTCTCGTGTTTGCACATGGGAGCGCGCTAGACAGTGAGGAATCTCTGGGCCGGATATCGTAAAAACGCTAAGCTTTCTTAAAGGGCACTGGTGTCACAAGTCAAATACATATATGCGTAAAGAGCCCTCCACCATTTTCCCAGCGTGCTCATTGTGCAAAAACTTTGCAGTCAAGTTAGCCATCTGTTGCATATCATGGAAGGAAAAGTCTAAATCTGCAGGCAAGAATGCTGAGACTTCAGGGGTGCCTGACCTCAAGCTCGGAGCTGTTTTGACAGAGATCTTTGTGCTTGTTGGGCTGTTTGTTAGAAGGAAGAGCTGACTTCCAGAGAGCCGTAGGCTGCTTTGCGCTGTGTGCATTTCACTGTGCAAACTTTCTTTCTGGTTTGTTCCAGGAATATGTTGTCGAAGGCTTTCACAGCCAGAGTTCATTGGCTGTTGTAGATTTTCCGGGTTGTGTGGCTGTGGTCTTCACATTGTAGAACCTGACGTTTCGCCTGTAGTTCTGACTGGCATCCTCAGAGGTATAACACAGAAAGATGGAGTACTCTCTGTGTCAAGGTACTCGATCTTTCTGTGTTATACCTCTGAGGATGCCAGTCACAGCTGCTGGCGAAATGTCAGGTCCTACAATGCCGAGACCACGGCCAGACAGCCCGGAAAATCTACAACAGCTAATGTTCCAGGAATGCTATTTAAAGTGCAGCAGGGGTCTCCAACATGGTGCCCGTGGGCGCCGTGGTGCCCACCTACACCTTTTCATGGCACCCACCAAGTGTTTTTAGAAAGTGGATGGGGCTGTTGCTCAGCATGGGCTCCGATTGGCCATTGGAGATCTGATTGCCTGCGCAGATTAAAATAACATTGTTGGGGGGGGGGGGGGGAGGCGCCGGCGAC